GCATCCCTTCCCTCCAGCGTATCAACTGATCAGGGATCTGAATGGTAGATAGTGCCATTGCTGTTTTACTGTCCCTACCAGGTTACTCTTCTAGACAAGTGGCCCTTTTGTTGGTATCTAAAGCTAGTCCTAGTCCTCCTTTTTTTTTTTTTTTCTCTTTTTTTCTTTTTAAAAGTATTTTAAATATCAATAGTCAGGAAAAAAACAGCTGAAGGTTTTTCTTAAGAAGCTGTCATCAGATTTTAGTAGCCTTGTGAAATTAAATGTTTTACGTTCAAATATTTTGAATTCATCTACAGTAGTTTAAGATTCAAATATCTTAAGATAGTATTCTATGAAGATTTACGGTTTTAAAGTAATCTGATTTTCTGTTTTTGTACTTGTGTGTAAAATTTTACCTCATACTTGTGTATACATAATGGATAAAATCATAGGTAGATCTGTAAAATTGGTACTTTATTAAAAAAATATTTAAATGTTGTAAGTTATAATGAGGTTTTGGATGTCAAATATAAGATCATTTTACTACCTTATTGTTTGCTGTAGGTGTGCAGAATTATTAATTATGTATCAGGCTGATATTAACCATGCTGCTGAAAGAGGACAGACACCTTTGTACCTGGCCTGTAAAAATGGAAATAATGATTGTATTAAGCTACTGTTGGAAGGTGGAGCAGATCGAACAGTAAAATCCAGTGTAAGTAGAAATAGTCTGTAGTTAAAGTACCTTGTGTAGTACTGTATATCTGCAAACAACTAGGAAATATTTACATTAAAATATTAATTTAAAGGCTGTTTTTTTTAAATCTGGGCTAAACAACTTAATTTGAAATTAATATTCTCTTCTTTTCATCATACTTCTTGGGGTTTTTGAAGCTATGTATTTTCTAAAATTTTGTAAATTATGTGACTTCCATATCATTTTACATATTTCAGATTCCACCTGCAGTTTGCACTGAATTTGCAAAACAGAACTCCTCTATTTTGACTTATTTTTGAGGTGGAGAAGTAGAGATATGGATTCTGCTTCCACCTTTTATGTTAGAGTGCTTTACTGTTGTCTTTGGGGGGACCTCCACCCCCAAATTTGTCTGCCAGGATTGTAAAGTCTGATATATCACAGGTGACCAAAAAAAATGTATCTATAGAGGAAAGAGAGGAGGTCTGTCTCGAAATTAACATCTAGATATTGCCTTTTTCAGGTGCTTTCCTGAAGTTTTTCTTAAGACTTGATAAAAACATGACAATAAAAGGGGGATATATGCTGTGCAGAAACAGCACAAAGAGTATTAGCTTCACAGTATGTTCTACTCCACTATTACACAGAATTATTTTTTGTACTCTTTTTTTTTTTTTTATTTGGAAAGTAAGCATTTTGTTTTAAATGAGAGGCAGTTATGATGGCAAAACCATGACGATATCTGACTGATAAGTTGATTAATGCAGTGTGAAACAGATTATTGCTAGTATCATGTTAGTTTGGTACATGATAAAGGAACAGTTTATTAACAGCATGTAAGTCCTATATCACTTAGACTCCACTGAATATTTTGAAGTCTCTGTCTTTTGAACTGTTCTTGGAGAAAGCTGTAAAATTTCCTTTCTGCTGCATTTTATCCCCTCTCTTTCTTCCATCCCAAACATATACAAGCAATGCTGTTTTCCCAAAGAATTATTATGTCACTCTTGCTTGTCTTTTTAATTTCCAAACATTGCCTTCTAGTCAAGTTCATTGCTAATACAAGTTCTGCAAACATTTTTCTGTGTGTTTAGTGGGAGTGTGCTTTTTTTTGCTTTTGCTTTCATAGGATGGTTGGTCACCAATTCATGCAGCAGTGGATTCTGGTAATGTTGACAGTCTCAAGCTCCTTATGTACTACAGCAAGCCAAACAATAGGAACTCTTTCACTGATGCAGAGCCTAATTTAGACTACTTTGAGTTGGACAAGAGAGAAGACAACTATAGCACTAGAATAAAGCCTGTTATTTCTGCAGATCTCATCAATCATGCTGACAAAGAGGGTTGGACTGCTGCCCACATAGCAGCATCAAAAGGCTTTAAGGTCAGTGTGTGTGAACAAGTTTCATTAACCTGATAGACTTTAGACAAGATAAATCCTTCTTTTTTTTATCTTTAAAGAACTAAAACTTACGTGTCAAATCTAAGTTTGTTATCTAGTTTATTTTCATACTTGATTTAACAGAGATAGTGAGATACTTCTCACTGGAAAATTTATCCCAGAAGCTAGGTGTCAAATTGAGTGAATTGTCATATTTAAATGCCTATTTATTTGGGACAACAATGGAAAGAGAAAACATGATTACTTGGATTCATATTTTCAAAGTTAAGGTGAATCCCACCCTAAATGCCAGTTCATTTGCTGTCATGTACTTCTAGATATAAGATGGACATCGTTTCCAGATACAGTTAGGGATGATTTAACTATGAACAGTTTTCCCTGAGGGAAGGAGAGAGAATAAGAGAGATGAGAATCAGATTTGTGCAGTAATACATGGTTTAATTTATTATTCTGGGCAGCCTTTTTAGCAGGCAGTGAAAAGGTTTTTGGGGGGTTGGGATAAATGATAACATGGAAAATGACATGACAGGTCTCACTGATGCTAAACAGGAAGATTTCTGGAAATTGAGTATTAATTGAAGGATTTGACATCAGAAACTTTATGCTTCTAACACTGTTTAAAGGATTATTTTTTTTATTTTGTTTTTTTTTAATGACAGCAATCAGTCATATCTTACTGTGAAACTTTAACCAAGGGAGAAAATAGAGAGTACTAAACACAGAAGAGAGTGAATTTTTGGTAAACATAGACCAAGACTTTGAAAATCAGCTTATTAATTATGCCTAATTAAATAGCTGTCATTATGTTTGCTTTTTTTCCTGATAAATTTACTATGATAAATTCAAAATAGGCACAGATTTAAGATTCGGTTTATTAAATAATGGTTTTTAGGAACCAGCCACTGCTTACTCCACATTTTGCATTACATACAGAGCCAATGTTCCATTACCACTGTATATTAGGCAGGTACAGACTCTTATTTCAGTTTCCGCTCTTCTGAATTTAGATGCAGTTTAAGGTGTTATTATAGTCTGCAAATACCTAAATAGTGTGCAATATGATCATTCTTTCTGCAATAATACAAAACTCAGGAACCTGGAAGCTAGATTTAATTTGCTGCCTGAAAGAGGCTTTGGCTATGTGTCCTCTCTCAGGGCTGTGACAATGGAAGTCTTTGCATAGACCTTTAATTAATAAATCGTGGCTTTGAGTTTCTGAGCACATTCCTAATCACTTGTTTAATAAGATCTCCATTAAGGGTTGAGGGTATTCTCTTAAGTGATGAAGGCAATATATAGCTGACAGTCAGATTCCTGATTTTGATGTTGCAGAGACTTTCTACAATTGTATTTGAATGCATTTATTGACTTGAGAGAGGTTTGGGATATTAAGAAGCTAAAGAAAGTTAATAGCCATCTTCAAGTACTGTTACCACTTCCACTTCATTTTCTAATCCTTTATCTGCATTGCATGTCTTTCATGACACTACATGATAGTTGCATTTAAACAGCGCTGGCACTTGCACCTTTTTCTTTCGAGACTGGTAGTTGCCATTCTTTATGAATTGTGCTAGGTCATCTTAGCTGCTATTTCATAAACAACAGAGCCAACAGAACTTCTCATTTTACTAAGAAAATAAGCCTCATTTCTTTGTTGTCTCCCACTTCTTTCTTCTCTCTCTACTTCCCACCTTTAACTTCACAGTTCAGTCCTCTGCCTTCTGCTGTCTTTGCCATTCATTGCACCCATTTGAGAGACAGAGTTAACTTACTAACTTGGCAAGAAAATATGCTTTTTGGTTTTTTCCTGATTAATTTTCTTTTGGTAAAGTTAGTGAACTAATTGCTTGGTGGTGGTTTCTTTTTTTAAAAAAAAGTTCTTACAAGTGCTGGAACTGCAATCTGGTAAAATTTCGTCTTCACATAAAAATATAGCTTGAATGACTGTTATGCTTGTGAAAGGTGTCAAAGTATCAGATACACTGACAAAAGTTTTTCTGTTAGAACAGGTACAAAATAGGTAACAGTAGCCAAACCTGCAGGAAGCATTAACTAGTATAATTTCTGATGGTGTCTTTTTTAATATGGATATCTGTCCTTGAAAGGCATGTCTGAGGATGACAAAGCTTTCGTGAAGGCCACCTGTATTGTTGCTGAATGGATGATCGTTAGAAATTGCTGTCTTCTGAGCAATCAATATTTGAATGTAGTTTTGAAAGGGTCATGTCCTGTCCTTACCCCCTTCCCTCTACTTCCTCCCTCTTCCCCCCAGCTAGTTTGGAAGGATCTATATAATTAATGTTTTCTTCATGTAATAGTATGATTGTACCAATCTAAATTTATCTGCTACTAGCTTCTTTTTTAATGAATTGTAATGATTTTTTGCTTTTGTGGAGCATGTGACTTATTTTGGAGTCTTTGAATTTTAAGAGGGCATCATGTTGTTGGCATGCACAAAGTGTTCGACTTTAACAGAAGGTTTACCTGCCAAAGAAGAGGCTTGCAAAGTGATTTAAAAATGATTGGTTTTCTTTTGCAGTATCCCACTCAGATGTCAGGCATGATGGAAACTCCTATTTGGTGAATCACAAAGTGAAAACTGGTTTCATGGATTACCATCTAACCAGATTCATTAATTAGTCTGCATTAAGCTTTAGAATTGCTTTTTAGTGTTGCTTGAATATTGAGGCAAAGATGTTCAAAATAATATGCATAGTTGGGCTTTTATTTCTTTATGTGAATACCTGAACTAGTGGCCAGGTGTTAAAGAACTTCTCAATTGAACTGGTTAGCACATGATGTTTGGAGACTGTAGAAGCCTGGCTGTGTATGTTCTGCTTTTTCAAAATCTTTATTTGAGACTTTCAAGTCTGCTGCCTTAAAATGTTTTTACTTCTGGTTTTCAAGTCTATGAGAAACATCTGGACACTCAGAAACTCCACTGCTGTCTATCTTTGGAAATGCATGTGTAAGAATTTCAATTAGGAGTCTAACTGCATATTGGTAGAACTCAAATGCAGCAAATGGACAAGTCAGTAATACAGTTCTTACCTTTGCAGAACTGTCTAGAAATCCTTTGCAGCCATGGTGGACTAGAGGCTGAGAGAAAAGATAAGTGTAATCGAACATTGCATGATGTTGCTACTGATGATTGCAAACATCTCCTAGAAAACTTAAGTAAGTAAATGCTATCAGCACAACATAAAAATGTTCTTAGTAAAGAGCTTGTGGGACAAAAAAGAGAAATTTGAAAAGGGTAGGTTGTCACTTTTTTGGCACCACAAAATTAAGTTTTCTTAACCTGGCAAGTTTCTATTCTCCAAATTACGAAAAGGCATATGATAAAATTCTGTTGGAGGTTACTAAATGACTTATCTCCTTGTTTTTAAACCATTTGAAAAGATGGTATATATTATACATGTGCAAACATCCATAATCTCTAAAATTTCTGAATTTAATATTAGTAACTACTTTTTCCAAAACCGTTATCCTCTTCTTATTTTTTCTTCAAATTCTTGCAGAAAAAAACACTTAGTGGCAGATAGCTGTCAAATTTCCTCAGGTTAAAACAGTCATCTACTTGCATCTGAATTTCTTCTTAAAGCATAGTTTTTATTTGTCACTTGTTTATTGTTGAGGGGATTCTTTGTTCTATTCTTCAAAAAAGGTCTTGGGGACAACATCAAACCATGTCCTTTTTCCAACATCAATAACTTCTTTCAGAAGACTGTTCTTCTGTTGGAACCTGTCACTGTCTTCCTTCTCTGTAAGTTTTCTCAAAATTCAGCAGAGCAGGCTGACCTCTGTATTTCTTGAGTTAGCATTTAGTCCATCCACACGTAAGTTTCATGTTTGCTCTGTATAATCAAAAGTCTTGTCTTTGTAGATTTGTATGCTTTGCATTTATTCACTTTTTTTGTGTTTGTGTTACAGGGCTGTGGGTAGTCAAGTACACTGATTATAGACAAATTAAGGAAGTTTTCTGTGTGCTGCTTCTGCTTTTCCTCTTCAGCTATTATAATATCGAATTTCTTACCATTTTATTGTAGGTGTAGAGGGGAACACAACTCACTTTCTATTAGAAACGCCTTTGTGGTCTATTTCTTTATCAGACTGAAGTCAATTTCTGATGTTTGAAGCTATAGCCTGTTAAATTGATGCTGGTATTATTTTCATCAGCCTTAGTACCCTGTTGCTCTGGTCAGGCTTATCATGAATCCAACTGCTTTTATCAGGTCAGAACCTCTGGACTCAGTTTCTCTTCTCTCTCATTTGTTAAGCCTGTAGTTAACATCAGTGCCACCATAATTAGCTGTTTTGCCCCAAGAAGATTTGATGTGTGGAAGCTTGGAAACACCACTTTTATCTGGGTATACTCCTGAATAAGCCAAGCCTGAATTTTGGGTAACTGTGTATGTACCATCCTCTGCCTTCCTCACAGTCCAGTAAGGTTTCCATTGTAAGGAATTACATGCATGTAGGACAGGAGAATGTGTTCCAATAATTCTGAAAGACAGGGGACCAAGATTGCTAACCATGCCATAGAGGACCCATACAGTGAAATTTAGGCATACACTGCTCCTCTGTCCTAGGGGCCTGTTTCCTTGTAAAGAGGTCAATGTATTTCCTATAGCCATTGCTCGTTTCCCTGAGATCCAGCTTTCAGAAGGACAAGCCTTTGATACATTCCTCACAAATCCCACATCCAAAAGGGTGCCTTTGGGTAATCTTTTCCCTATGGTAGGCTAGTGGGTTTAAATCAGAGCTTTTCTGACATCACAAATGCTTCATTCGTTTGTATCAGCAGAAGACTTGGCTTCTGAACTCAAAAGCAAAACGCATGTTGCAAGATTTCATAATAAGCTGATAACTTTTTGTGCGATGAACATATTTTTAATATCAGGGATTAAAAATTTCTGAAAGGTATTGTTTTAGCATTATAGTTAGAAGATAGTTTCATTTTCACTTTTAGTCATCTAAATGATCCAGACTGCTGCTTCCGTTGAGTTGTGTTCCATTTTTCAAAAGGCAAGATTTAAAAACACATAAATTTTTTTCCTAGAATGTGCATGTGAATTTTGTACTTTCTTTTTTTAATATATTGTCAATTTATCTGATAGGAAATCAAATATACGCTTCCAAGTGAATTTTCTGTCTTAGCTATTTATTTAAAGACATTTGGCTCAACTAACTGTTTTCCACTTATGCGCCAGTGCCAGAAAATTCCTTTCTGCATTGATAATAAAAATGTGCACAACCACAATAAACTGAATCATTAAGACTACCTGCCATCTGTATTTATAAGAAATTAGTCTGTAAAAAGGAAATAAAAGATTAAATAAGTTCTGTCTTGCTTCCTGTTATTTAAGCATAATACTGATTTTTTTGTAATGTAAAAAGAGATGGATACCTCTGTTTGTTTGGTTTTCATCACTGCTCTGATTTTATGTTGGTGATCTGTGCTGCTCTTTACCATTTGCTTTTCTGTAGCAGGAGTTATTTTGTAGTTTTCCTTTGCAACATTAGATGTTATTGGTCTTTAATAATAGGATTTTTTTCTAATTGAATTTTACAGTTTTTCTCATTCTTGGTTTTTTGTTTTTCAACAGATGCTCTTAATGTACCTGTAAGGATTTCAGTTAGTGGCATTGAACCAGCCCATTGTGGTACAGAAGAATTTGATATAGAAAACACAATATGCGCTTTAAATATCTGCAAACAGACATCATGGGATGATTTTTCAAAGGCAGTGAGTCAGGCAGTGACAAACCATTTCCAAGCAATTGCTTCTGATGGATGGAAGAGCCTAGAAGACCAGTCATTCAGTAGTGCTGCAGAATCGAACATTGGCCTCAGTGCAAGCAGTATATTATCTGTCAAACTAGGTATCAATATTGGTGTAATAAGAAAAACAAAAATTGGGGGTTTTCTTGAATTTGTGAAACCTTGTAAATAAGATAAAAATATATTTAGATTTCTAGATGTTTTAAAGCTTAGACTAAGATCAATACTAGCTATGAAACTTTGAACAGTGCTGGTATGAAACCATTCTTTAGTTATGTGTCTGATACTATTCATTAAGCAATTAGTATCACCTTGGGTACCATGAGGCCCTATGTTAACTAGTCCTTTACTCAATTTAGTAGTCCAGAAAAGAGATCTGTATTACACGTGAAACAAAGCAATTCAAAGCAAAGCCCACACTACATCTTTACAGTACATCCAGAATGTACACTAAATCCAGACTGTAATTCCAGAACGAAATTACTCATGTTTTATTTAATTTCATTTATCAAGGTAAAACAGACAAATCTTTAAAATAATAAGAAATTAGCCAAAAGGTGGTAGTAGGAGTAATAGTTGCATAGGACTCTGAAAATTCATGTGCTTCATCTTAAATCCTCTTCCCCCCTCCATCTATCACCCTAAAAAAATCCTGTTTATATTAGCCTGGGCAAATGGTCTTATTTTACTTTTATTTTGTGTGTAAAGATAGGCCAACTATTAGACTTGTGTCTCAATTGGCAGAAAACATTATTATCCTGAGGCATGTATCAAATAATAGCATAATTTAGTGCATGGAACTCCTTGTAAGCAAGTGAATATGCTTGAGCATAAGACACTTTGTATAGATACAGGGAAGATCTCTCTCTTTTTTTCTTTTTAACAGGAAACATTTCATGGTCAACAGGTCAGATTTTTTCCCAGCCACCATGGGATTTTTTGAAGAACAACAGAGCTGAGCATATCACAGTGGTTTTGTTTGGTAATTTTCAATTCATAATTTTCAGGTTTGAATGTTAAGGACATTCCATATGAAATATGTAATATGAGAAGTGTTCGCTACTGGGTTTGTTTTTCAGTGTAGCTTTATCCTCAGAAATACCATGTCCAATTAATTGTTTAACTAGATTTGAAAAGGTCTACAACATTTAGAAAATATGCTGGCACATAAATGTCCTACTACCTTTTTCATTAATATAGTAGTATCCATTTTACTTATGTATATTCATGAATCTATGTTGCCAGATAAATCATTTTAATTTGCATAGCCTACAATTTTAGGACATCACTAGAATACTGCATGAAAAGCAAATGTGTCCATCATATGTGATTATAAACATGAGAGATTTATAGAAGTCATTTGTATGTCTCTTTTTAAAGGACCTCAAGAAGGCTGCCTAAATAGCGTGACTTACGCATCTATGATCCATCTTCAGACACTTCAGAATTACCTCCGCCTGGTAAGTGGTAGGCTAGCCTCTCTCTGCACACTATTTATACATGAAAATATTTCTGTAATACTATTGACTAAAAAAGTTGTCTACTCTGTGAAAGAATGTCAGGGGTTCTAAAAAATGAATGGGATGAAAGCCATTATTTTAAAATCAAGTTCCTCCTAAATCTTACACCAATAACTTTAGTCACGTAAGGGTGTTAACTTTCTTCTTCAAAGAGCTGCCATCTGATTAATTGAACTGCTTAAGAAAATATATTAAAAGCTCCAGGATATCTTTCTTCTTTCTAAAATGATTTTATTTCACTTTTTGAGGGGAAAGTAAATTAGACTAAGATTCATGTAAGCAATTATTTGGGACTTGAATTTTATTACTAGCTTATGTATGTATCTCCTGTAACTCTTACAATTTATTTAATTCCTCAAAATGTAAGGAAAATTAGATAATACGAGTTAGCTTTCATAGCTCATTTGTTTTAACATTGCTAATCAAATCAGAATTAGTTTTAAATCTGCGTAATTTCTCCTGTGTCCTTGGTTAGTATTTCATGTTGTTAGAATAGTTACGTGCCACAGATTTCTGCTGCATTCACTGATCTTGCTCAGTGATATGATTTTATTCCGTTTTACAGTTAAGATAGATTAAATCATTTTTATTCTGCAGTATTGGTAACATGATCCCGTTTGAATTGGAAATGAAGTCCATAGTGTAAGTCCTTAAGTTAGCAGTGAATTAATCTACTCTGATGATTTTAACATCATTCTGGTTTATCTGTTTTAATTCAGTGACTCCTAAACTCATGCGTCCTACATGAATGTTTCAAGATTTAATGATTGTTACAATGAAAAAATACCTTTTCATGTAGTTTTACAAATAAGGATCTAAATTTATCAATATATTTTCAAGATATTGTATGAGAATATTGCCCATTTTGGAACTAATACAATAAGGATTATTAACTCCAGTAGTGCAAACCAAAGAATTTTATCTATTAGATGCTGATTGTCTCATCTAGGTCAAAAAAAAAACCCAAACCTCCAAATCTGAACTTTCAAGAATAATTTATTTTCTGTCTGTAGGTTGAACAATATCGTAATGTCATTTTCCATGGTCCAGAAGGAAGTTTGCAAGACTATATAGCATATCAGATAGCAGCCTGCATGAAGGTATTAACACAAACATATACCTTAAATTAGTGCATAGAGTTCGCACTATTTCACCAAATCTATAAATTTTCAACACAGCAAAAGCAGATGGCTGCAGGATCCACATGTGAAATCATTAAAGTTGAAGTGGATGCTGGTTTCTCCAAGGAGCAGCTTGCAGAACTGTTCATCAGCAGTGGTAAGGTTATTTCAGCAGG